CGCTGTACAAGGCGAACCGGCGTAAGGCGGTGCGAGAGGTACTCCAGGGACCGGCCGATTAATGCCAAGTGCCGAAACGCCGGGTCCAGGAGTACTTCGAGCATCTGTATAGCGGCGGGGATGCCCTGGATGGCATTGACGTGGAAGCCGAACGCACCGACCCCCCGAGTTCGCAGGATGTATCCGCGGTCCTCGGTCTGCTCGCGGAGCAAGAGGTGGACCGTCGACTCCGGCGTATGAACAACTCTGCGCCGGGTCCCGACGGTATATCCTACCGTGACCTTCGTGGGACGGATCCGGGAGCGCGGCTCCTCACAGCAACAATCAACCTCTGCTTGCGGCTCGAGGCAGTTCCCGCGTCCTGGAAGACCTCCACTGTGTTGATACACAAAAAAGGAGACCGGGACGTGTTGGAGAACTGGCGTCCTATCGCTTTGGGGGACACCGTTCCCAAACTCTTCGCCGCGTTCTTGGTCGACCGATTGACCGACTGGAATCATGGGAATCATCTCTGCTCCGTGCAGAAGGGCTTCTTGCGGGACGAGGGGTGCTACGAGCACAACTTTGTCCTACAAAAAATCCTGACTCACGCCAAGCGCGCTAAGCGCCAAGCGGTGATTGCGTGACTGGACCTGTCCAACGCGTTTGGATCGATCCCGCACGCGACCATCCGCAACGCGCTTATAAGATCCGCGGTGCCACGGAGTTTCATAGCGATATGGGACTCCATATACGATGGTTGCACGACGAGGGTGCGAACCGCCGAGGGTCACAAAGCACCCATCCCCATCCGGTCGGGCGTCCGCCAGGATTGTCCACTAAGCCCAATAATTTTCCTAGCCATCGATTCGGTCGTCGGCGTGGCGGCCGAATCAGACGATGATTACAATTTGCACGAGCGTTTGTGATCCGCGCTGGCTTATGCGGACAACATCGCACTACTGGCCCAGACGCTTGAGGGGATGGAGATGTTGATAGCCTCTGTGGAGACGGAGGCAGCGTCGGTGGGGTTGCGGTTCAACCCTGCAAAGTGTGCCACCTTGCACGTCGGTGCGGGGAATGGCAGCAGGGTCCTACCGACATCATTCCAAATCCAGGGGGAGACGATAAACCTCCCGGCTCAGGGTGATTTGTACACCCACCTTGGTATTCCAACCGGGTTCTCCGTTGACCAAGACGCCTTACGCAGCTGTCGGGGACATCGTTTCGGACCTGCGCGCGGTCGACCACTCACTACTTGCCCCATGGCAGAGGGTGGAAGTACTGGGGACTTTCATCCTACCTAGGTTAGACTTTCTGCTGCGGGAGGCCAGAGTGTTCAAGAGTCCCCTCAAGGCCGTCGACCTTAACATCCGTCGACATGTTAAATCCTGGCTTAACCTCCCTCAGCGAGCGAGTGCGGAGGGAGTCAACATGCCTCCTCGTTTAGGGGGATGTGGGCTCTTGCCGCTCTCAGACCTCGCCGACGTCCTCACGGTAGCCCACGCGTATCGTGTGATAACGGTGCGCGATGGCGCCGTGAGGGAGTTAGCGTGGGAATCGCTGAGGGGAGAGGTTGGGCGCAGGATCGGCCACGCCCATAGTTGTGAGAATATCGCCTTCTTCTTATTCAGTTCACTGGATGGATGGATGAAGGGCGGAGAGGAGGCTCCTCTCTGGTCGAGTGCGCTTAACGCTGCGCTCAGACAATCCGAGAGGCTGTCCCTGCGGTGGCGGTGGGTTGAAACCACGGAGGAACTGGAATTGGAGTGTCAAGGTCCAAAGGGGGCAGCAATTATGATTCCGCCTGGAGCGCGCGGCCAGGTAGTGAATCAGCTGCGCTCAGCTGTAGCAGAGCACTACTCTAAAAGGTTACTCAGCAAGCTTAATCAGGATAAGGTCTTCGAGGTGTCGTAACGGAGTCGGGTGAGCAATCACTTTATCCGTGGCGGCAGTTTCACACGCTTCGCCGATTGGCGCTTTATTCACAAGGACCGCTTACCAGGTATGTAAATATGAAACCGGAATTTTTTTAGTAGAAAATACACATTTATTGCATGAAAATGATAAAAATTATTTTATTCGAAGTATTGCCCATCGCTAGCTATACATTTTTCCCACCTGTATGACAATTTGTGGATGTCACGCCAAAAAAATTGTTGCTCTTTTGAGCCAAATCAGTCATCTAGTCATTTTCGTACATCTTCGTAAGAAATGAAGCGCTGCTGAGCAAGTGCGGGTCCCATCGATGCAAATAAGTAGTAATCGGACGGAGCCAAGT